TTTGAATTTTTAGAAAAAAAAATAAAACAATTTTTTTCTTTCCGATGTCAAATTTGAGTCGGGATCGAGATTTCAGATTTACGAACTCGCACTTTTGGTTTTACGATGAAACGGCAGGTAAATAAAGCTAGCTTGGTTTAGTGTAAAATTCATCGATAAGAGTGCCATTCAAAACGTTTCACCCGTTCAAAGGACAAATAAAATGCTGACGACTTTGTTGCACAATGACATGCTGGTGAGATAATTATGTATTCGTTTCAAAAGTAGCTGTAAATTATTTTCCTCTCCCAGGTTTCTAAACGGTAGACAGACTACTCGGCCCAACGACACCTCGGCCCGTGCTGGTTGACACCTCGGCCCTGACAGGTCGGCTCAAAATCATTGACACCTCGGCCCATACCGAAGACTGCTCGGCCCATCAGGAATAAAATTAATTTTTTTTGTTTTAATTAGTTTTATTATTATTTTTTTTGTATTTTCTATATCCATGATATCATGGTAATGTAAATGTATACTATGTATATTTTTAATCACTACAGTAAAACTCGTATAGTACGAACACGGATAAAGCGAATTCACGGTTAAAGCGAAGTTTATCTGGGTGTCCGGCAAAATTCTTAACAAATCTTTGTTAAATATTACGGTTATAACGAACTCTGATATAACGAAATTACGGATATAGCGAACTAATTTTGATTCCCGTTGAGGATAAATATTATGAAATTTACGTTTTTTATAACGAACTTTCAAAAATCTCAAAAAATTTGATAAATTAAACTGACTTTATTTCCTTTTAGCATTTGTATATCGAATTCAATTCATAATATAACCTTAATTATCGAAGATATGTTTTGTAATATTTGCTTCTCTAACATATTTGATAGAAATACTTGAAGGAAAACATGCATATTGCGAATTTGCTGTAATGGTTATACGAATTCCATATACAGATATAATGAGTTTCGGATATAGCGAAGTAAATTCACAGGACCCCAGGACTTTGCTATAACCGAGTTTTACTGTATACGTTTACTATAAATATACGATAATTTCAGTATTTTCTAACAAACCACAGCACAACATCAAATTACAATCCGTTGATTGGGAGGTAACAGGTCTATTTATTTATTTATTTATTTACTTTGTTATTTATTACAATGCAACATTATACATTATTAGCTCACCTGAGCCGAAGGCTCAAGTGAGCTTTTCTGATCAAAATTTGTCCGTCGTCTGTCGTTGTCGTTGTTGTTGTCGTTGTCGTAAACTTTTCACATTTTCATCTTTTTCTCAAGAACCACTGGGCCAATTTCAACCAAACTTGGCACAAAGTATCCCTAGGTGAAGGGGATTCAAGATTGTTCAAATGAAGGGCCACGCCCTCTTCCGAGGGGAGATAATTATAATGAATTAGTGAAATATTAATAGCATTTTTAAAAAATCTTCTTCTCAAGAACCACTGGGCCAGGTAAGATGAAACTTATGTGGAATCATTCTCAGGTAGTGTAGATTCAAGTTTGTTCAAATCATGACCCCTTGGGCTAGGGTGGGGCCAAAATGGCCGACCAAAGTTTTACATAGGAATACCGTAAATCTGGAAATATTTACATTAAACCAAGCTTTAATGCCGATATGGACTTTACCAAATCTCTTTTCTTTACCGCCATGTTCATTTAAAACAGGAAGTACGAGTTCATAAATTTGAAATCTCGATCCAGACTCAAATTTGACATTGGAAAGAGAAAAAATCTGTTTTTCTCAATTTTATTTTTTTTCTGAAAATTCAAAAACTTGAGCGGCGGGTTTGTAAACCTAAAAATAAAAAAATGCTGGCCTAACTCCCAATTATGGCTTCTAGTAATTACATGTAACTCCTCTTAGCCACCACCCCCTATGACACGCGCTCGAGACTCTAAAGGGTGCACTGCGTCTTCTTGTTTGTTTAATGATTAGCACTTATAATCAAGTTACTAATGGATCGTCTTTCTTTAATTACCGTCAATATGCCATCTTGAAAGATTGCAAATGTATCAAATTAATTTTCTTTTGCAGTTCATAGATATATAACAACATGAATAATAAATATATTTAATTGAAATAAATATTTCTGTTTGGACCGAGGTGTCTCTTATATGAGCCGAGGTGTCTGCAAATTTGGGCCGAGCCGTCGGAGCCGAGGTGTCAATGGGCCGAGGTATCCTTGGGCCGAGGTGTCATTGGGCCGAGCAGTCTGACATTCTTTTAAACTGCCCGTGGTAGTTATTGCATATTGCCAGGGACATTGTTTAGGTCTCTGTTATAGCTTACAGTCTAAGCATCATTCTTCAGAAAAGGGTTGCTTATGCATCAGATGTAATGAATAAAACTATGGGAGAAGCGAAGTCCCTTTGAGGAAGAAATAAACAATAACCTGAAGAAATAAAAAAAAAACTCAATTATTAAAACTTAAAGGCAAGAATATACAAATATATACAGGCATGTAGTATCATTTGTGTCAGCCAGAAAAATTATTTTACACTCAATTGAAAAATTGTTGACCGTACTCCCCAATACTCCCTGTCTGTTTTATGATAGGAATTATAATTTTAGCATCAAGTAAATTTTAGAACAATGTCTACACATTCACCTAACACATATTAAAGAAATGAAGATATATTGAAAGACTTTTAAAGAATTGATTTTTTAAAATATATTTTGATCAACATCACAAAATTTATTTAACTGGCCAAAACTGGCAGATGATGAAATAAGCAATTAAATATTCTACTTTCCTATTTGTAAGTATTATGTCTCCAGTGGTAAGGAGCCTATTAGGATAGCATAAAAAAAATGTACAAATGTTAATAATTGATTTAGTCAGGGGCATAACTCAAACAAGTTATTTTCAAAAATAACTCAAATGAGTTATTTTACATTATTTCACACACACAAAATTTTTTTTTGAAAAATAACTTAAATAAGTTATTTTTATATCCTACTTGGACATTGATTTCATGGAAATTTCGTGTTTCCTGCCAATTTGCATTGCATTTTGGGATTCCATTATGTAATACTAAATGGAGTTCACCGACTCCAATGGAGAATTGGTGAGGAGGTTGGGATAAACAGCATTTACACCTTATTTTGTGGTTTTATCCACATGGTTTATATGTCCAATTTTTATCATTAAATAAAAAAAATTCCCCACTTTTCCCAAGACTTTGGACACTTTTCCTGCTTTGAGCAAGGTTTAGATTTAGTCAAACATTTGTTTTTGTCTTGGTGCACGAGCGAAATCCTTTGGTGCACGGGGTGTGAAGTTAGGGAGGAATGACACAAAATAACTTAAACAAGTTATTATTTTATTGAGGCTATTTTGGAAAAATAACGTGTTTGAGTTATTAAGGTTGGGAAAAAGTAGGTCATAGCAAAGAGAAGTAACTCATTAAGACAAAAAATTAATTCATTTGAGTTATTTTTGAAAATAACTTGTTTAAGTTATGCCCCTGACTTATCAAAAAAAAATTATTTCCTTTTCCTTCGGGACTTTTTATTCTCATGTTCATAACTAAACCTAAACATAAAAAAAAAATGCTGGCCTTATAATGAGGAAAGGGACCTCTTTCAAAATAGATATTTTCAGGGCTGCTGGCTCAGGGGTACATGGAGGCCAGTCCATAAAAATAAATTAATGCTTTGAAATCTGCCCTTTGATAAGCAATGGTGCCTCTTTCAAAATTTGTGAATTTAATGGCTTTTGGCTTAAAACACGAACCAAATACAATCGCTGGAAAGTTGTTACATGATACTCAGGTGACCTATAAGGCCCGTGGGCCTCTTGTTTGAACAAAAAAATATTTCCTAGATACCATAGAATAAGCATGAATACAACTGCATTGAACAATTTTAGTAACTTGCTAATGAAAGGGAGACAATCCAGTTTTGTATTTGAAGACGAAGAAGAAAATTAAGTTAGCCCCCTTTTCATTATAAAGGTGTAAAAATACCTCCTGAAAAGAAAATAACTTAGCCTCCTGCTTCGTTCCAAAATAGTGGGTCAATAAAACTAATTCATTATTTTATATTACTTTATTTTATTATTACTGCCAGTATCACTATTATGAAAGAGGAAATATTGTACACCATTACAAGCACTGAAGGTCACTGACAGAAAATGTAGGGTTGATTTTTGTGGTTTACACAGTCACTGAACTAAGTGTTGATGCTTAGGGAAGGGGATATATATAATCTGACTGTATTATTTCAAGTTATACAAGTATTTTTTTTTTCATTACAAAAGTTTTAAAAGAGAGATATTGAAAATTCTGTTTGACAGACATTTATAGCAACATTTTTAAATATAGATTTTCTTGCTTTAAAAGAAAAACTTAAATATACCTTAATGTGTTTTTTTTTTACTTGTGGAATTGATGGGGGAATAACTTCTAGTAGTAGTTATCATAATTTTGAATAGAGTTAGAGAGAAAAACATTTTTTGGGCTGCAACCACACAACACACAACTCAAACAGAGGTCTATGCGAGATTTAATTAGCAGCAGTGTACTTAGCCATAGTACATTTCAATGTAAGTGTGTTTATTATAATGATATATTTTTAGTGGCATATTTATCTGTGGATTTGAATCATAAATTAATAACCGAGTTCAGCTGAAAAAAAATAATTTGAGATTACACTTTCATTGCAAAGAAAAACAACAAGACTTGAACCGCAGTATTCTGATTGTTGATGTAAACTGATGCTCTTGCTTTCTTCGGTTAATATTATGCATCTATAGAGTATTTAGCTTTTGATGTATTTGATCTGTTAAGATATAATTTGGGTAGTGAACTGTAAATTAATCTTACAAGTGTTTACATATTATATGTACGTTGAGCCAGATGTTTTCTTAATTTAAAGAATTGAAAAACTCTATTTCAGAATGACTTTTCACTTAATGTCTTCATCATCTATATATATGAGCATGTTATAATGCTAAATGTAATTTTATTGACTTCTTACATTACAGACTCATACAATGAACACCAGCATGATCACAGTGGACCAATGGTAATAATGAAACTGCTCCATTATGATAGTTTTCAATATGAATTATAAAACTATAAAAAAAAAATTTTTGATTCAGTGAAATCACTTTATCTTTAACCAGATTACACTGACAAAAATGTCAAGATATCTAATGATTGAAATAACAAGGTTGAAATACACGAAAAATCAGCTTTTATTCGTGAGAAGTTTATTTTGCTTAGTTACGTGAGACACTGAGCTCGGAAAAATTTCATTCTCATTATAATAGTATTCCTTTGAATTATATAGAGGAATGACAACAATTGATGAAAGTTATGTCTCGCTTAAAAAGAGTCAATGAAAATCTTGCCTAAATACAATGTCGCAAAAATTTAGTGATCTACAGTATATCGGAACTTCAAGGGGAAGTGATAAGGACTTTAAAGTGGATCAGTAAAACATACCCATGATATTCAAGATATCAAAGTTTGACATATTAAAGTTCAACTGAATATAAATCATCAATTAATGCAAATAATTTTTTTCCCCATGTTTAATAAAATTTATTTATGTATAAATAGTTTGAATAATTTTATGATTTTATTTTTTACAGGGAACAATTTATCCCTTTGGCCCACAGAGATCATTTATCAGAAACATCACAAGAGAATTCAGAAGTGTTTTACGGCTCAAACAGGTAACAACTGAATTTGTAAAAACTTCATTTTACATTCTTTTAAAAATTTTCAGATTTCAAAAATAAAATACTTATTTGTCCTTTTCAGTCAAGAAAGATTATCCTGTTTCTTGGATTAAATGTCCTTGGTACAATCATCTTATTCATTTGGTGCCATGCAACAAACAGTATGGGTAGGTTACTTTAATAATGTACAGAAAAATGCAATTTCATAAATTCATAGAGTTCAATTTGTGTACATTCATTGAATTTATTAGATATATCAGCAGGAAGCATTAAACAATAGAATCAAACATTTTTTAATATATATGTGTATTATTAATATATGTGTAATACATAAATGTTATAATGCACTGTGTTCATTTCATAAGGCCACACCAATTTAATTTCTTGTTTGTCGGACATTTGATGAAAAAAGTACGAGCGGGCAAGTGGTTGAACACACATAATATTATTAATATTAAAGCAAAATTTTATACACTGACAGTGAAAAAAAAAAAACTGAGTGGACAACTATATTTTTTTCCTGATTTGCAGAGTGCACAGATTTAAAATACGAAAAATAGAGCAGAAATGGGGCAGAAAGTAGTAAAAATTTTCCAGGGTGCGGGAAATTAAAATTAATATTATTTGTATAGTTTTGTTTAAATACAAGGGGGCGGGTCCAACAAACATAGAATTTTATTGGTGTGGCAAATTGCTTATATCTTGCTGGAAAAATAGCATATAATACAGTTGCTTTTTTGTAGATATTTTTTTATTGTCCAGATATATACACTTGCATTTTTGTAAATATTTTTTATTGTCCAGACATATAAAGTCTTGAGATTTTGTGTAAAACTAAAAATATATAAAACATTTTGCCACTTATAATATCCATTATCATGATTATTGACTATCAATTCTTATTTCATTGTAGCACTTACAGCATACACATACCTCACTATTTATGACATCTTCAGGTAAGCTATAAAGAATGACTGCACTTAAGCTATGACAGTTGGATCCGGATGTTTTGCGCAAAATAAAATTCCAAAATTCATTAAATTTATGTTTTATAGGTATTAAACAATGTCTCAATAGCAGGTTTTGGTATATTATATTACATGAAAGTATTAAATAATGCCGAGCGATACTAGCTTTTGAGACGTGGGTCTAACAGTTCTGTCCCATTTCTATTGTTATCCATATGCATACCAGTTTTCAACGACTTTGTTTACATCGAGCCGCAATTTGGCCATTTTTCTTATTTGCACAGAATGTGTATTTTAACTTAAACTTATACATATCCAAAGGACAATGTTGGCCAAGTTGCGGCTCATATCTAATTTAAAAAAAAATGTCCCCAAACTAGGGTCGAGATTGCTACTAAATTAACCGGTCACCGAGCACCAACGATTGATATTATAATCAGCTTTCTAACGTGACCTTCTGCTGTTCGATACCCTAACGCTTTCATTGAAAATATCATTGTGTTTAAGTCTCTGTTGTGACATTATCTATCGTACTTCCAACTTCAAACTATAGGAGAGTTTTGCGCAAATTTTAATAGGGTTTGAAGATAATATGTCTCTTATTTATCTTTATGCTTTTCATAATGGGTGTTTTGAAAGAATTCTGGTTTTGACAGTGTCATTAGTAAGTACATGTATAGGCTTATGTCGCCTCTGTATTATGGTCTGCACAGCAAGACATTTACCCCATCCCTTATTAACATTAGAATCATTTAATAATTGTGAACCATGAAATCAACACGATCTCTCTCTCTCTCTCTTCTCCATTTCAATTCGCATATTTTGAAAAAATCATATGTGCTAATGTTTACATTCCACAGCCATGCGATTTAAATGTCTCCGCCTATTTGTGGATACCTTAGATTCGAAAGTGGTCCCGTTCAAATTTCCGGAATTTAAGGATTTTACATGTTCTTTTCAATTACATTTTCTGTAATTATAAAAATATATATGGCAAAAAATTCTAGAAATAAATATCAAAAGCATATGCTTGCACATTAATCATAGATTAATTTAGCGATATATTGTAATGTTAAGCTTAAGATGGGTAGCCGAAAAGGTTCCAAATGACGTACTTAAGTGCACTCATTCTTTAATCGTTTGAAAGTTACACAATACTCAGGTGACCTATCAGGCCCGTGGACCGCTTGTTCTGTCTAGCTGTTTATCTTAATGGGAAAACACTTAAAGCATATACTGGGTACAGTGATTATATGTGTTGACCTTTATGCAAGGTCACTTTAGCAAGGCCATAAAGCACCTAAATCAAAATGTCGAATGGAATGTATTTACCAATGTTTACATTTTATATGATGAAGGGCTTTTACTAATTTATTCAATTATACATCTGATGGAATTTTTGTACAGAGGCTCAAATGAATTGTGTGGGCATCAATAACAAGTCCCTTTTCAGAAACATTTAAATCAATGTAAGGACATTTGTTATTTGTGTAATACTGATGTAGATATAAAGCTTACTCCATTCCGATCAAAAAATATTAACAGACGTTGATGTTGATACATTCCGAGCTTGTATATCTGTATATATTTTTTGTTTATTTTGTAGATGGAGATACATTATTGATGTGCCTTCTTCTTTCCGACTCCTACAAAATAAACATGAAAGAAGGAAACTGGATGACCAAATATAATGCTGTTGCCAAATGTTTTCACTCCAAGGAAATCTCAAAGCCATTTGCTATTACAGATTTTGAAAAATACGAACCAATTCTGAAAATTAATGAGTCCGAGATCAGTTTTTCCAATGAATGCTTCAAAGATATCAGTTTCTTAAAATTATTAAAGAGTCCTAAAATAATCAGAGAAGACCGGAATAAAGTTTATACAATAAACACTGCTGATATTTTCTTGACTTGGGCAGAAAAAGAAAACATTGCTGAGTACTGTAGATCCTGGAATTATCAGAGAGGAGAGGATGAAGTTTGCTGTTGGTTAATGCCAGATAAAAATGAAGAGTTTTTAACACGACTAGAAGAAGACATTTTCACGAACCCAACAATGGAGGACCAGTCATTCCATGAGGCCGTATTTAGAAAATGTAGGTCTATTTTCAGCTCACCTGAACCAATTACTTGGATAAAATTTAACAATAGAAGTTTTTTGCTAATGAGTAACAATTTACATGTATTTTATTTGTCCCTGATTTTATCTATAACTTAAACTTTTAAATCTTTTTTCCCCCTTTTAATCCTTTACATTGATGTTGTAAGTTAAGTACGATAGACACTCAACTCACCTGAGTCATTCATCTTTGAAGAATTGTTGGAGTCATTTTATCATCTGTAGACTGTACTCATTGGACGTCCTTTTTAGAATCTTTTTACCAAATTTAATGAAACTTAAATGAAATCGTTCTTAGGTAATTTGAGAAGGTATACATTTATGATTTTCCGAAACTTATGCCGTTTTTTAAAGATAGATTATATGCTACTTTTGATTCACGATTTAATCTTGGTCAGAATGCAATTTTTGTCACAATTACAGCTTCTTCAAATAAGTATACAATTCAGATTGTGTTATATCAAATTTTAACATGTTATTATGTTACATGTATTTGCTTATGATCATTGCTAGACAAACAGACCTATGTTTTAACATGTTATTATGTTGCATGTATTGGCTTATGATCATTGCTAGACAAACAGACTTATGTTTTAAAAAGTATAAGCTGAGTATTGTTTTAACAGTAAAGGTATTCTATTATAAAAAAAAGAAGGATATGGAAATAACAAACAGTATTCAATCTCAACGTCCATTAAACAAGTATACAAAATAAGTGCAGAGCAAACACGGACCTCCGAAACACCAGAGGTGGGATCAGGTGCCATGGAGGAGTGAGCATCCCCTGCCGACCGGTCACACCCGCCATGTACTCGTTGTCATAATCAGGATATAACGGAAAAAATCCGTGGTCAATTCAGTGTATAAATAATGGACTAACAATTGGTATGAAAAACCTTCAGTCAGCTTTTCATTCAATGATAAATTGTATTTGCTGACAATGTCATTGTATCGACCATAGAATTTACGAAATGATGACTTATACTAAGATAAAAATGTTCATCTGTCTTTTCTACTTATATTTTTAATTCACATACTGATAAGGGATAAATAAATCAATGAAAATTCTACATTCGATATTTGGATCTCGAGAATAGGAAAGTTATCTTCATGATTGTTTATAATCATTTGTTTGACTCCGTCACAGCTTTGTAACGTTAGAGTTTTGTCATTACAGTTGGAATACCAATGCAGATTATCCTAAGGGGAGACAAATCAGTGACGAATTTCATTGAGAATTTAAAGAAAGGGAAGACAACCATGTACCATGCCTCTGGGATGATAATAGGGTGTGCTGGTAGTGGGAAAACAACATTGTTAGAGAGACTGAAGGGCATTGACCTGGAGAAAATAAAGAAAAATATCAGGTCAACTAGAGGAGTCGATATCCACACAGATGTGTTTGATGTGAAAGAAAGCATCCAAGGTATTTAATGCTCACCTTAGCTGAAGGTTTAAGTGAGCTTTTCTGATCAAATTTTGTCCATCGTCCGTCTAGCTGTCTGTTCATCTGTAAACTTTTCACATTTTCGACTTCTCCGCAATAGCAACTCAGCCAATGTTAACCAAACTTGGTACTAAGCATCCTTAGGTGAAGAGAAATTTCAATTGTGAAATTGACAGGCCAAGTTACCATACAAGGGGAGATAATCAAGAAAAGACAAAATAGGGTGGGTCATTAAAAAATCTTCTTCTCAAGAACCACAATGCAAGAAAAGCTGAAACTTATGTGGAAGCACCACCTCCCCCCTCTACACCTATTTGTCTGCTTGTAAAGTAGGGTGTTTAATAGCGATGAGGGTGTCCTCCTATCCACCTTTCCATCAGTCCGTCTATTACATTTTGGGGTATCCATCTCATATCTGCAACTCCTCATTACCACTTAACACTGAATAAAAATCTGTACCACAGGCACTTATAAATAAAACTAATGAAACTTTCATAGAATCTTTGTTTAATATATAGAGAAATTTTAAACCTTCTCTGAATGGACACAACTTTCTGGTTTCTTAATGCAAAACATAGAAAGTACCATTATATTGATGGTATCAGGCATCTCGTATTTGCAACTCCACCTGTACAACTTAATAAAGTTAAATAACAATTTCACATAATATTTATACCCCCCACAAAAAAAGTTTGGGGGGTATATAGGAATCACCTTGTCCGTCTGTCCGTCCGTCCGCCTGTCTGTGCAATCGTGTCTGGTCCATATCTTTCTAACAGAAGAACATTTGAATCTACTACTTCACACAAAGATTGCCCATGACCTAAGGGTGTGTCATGACCTTGACCCAAGATCATTTGGGCAACTTCAAGGTCACTGGAAGAAAAATTTCATAATTCGTGCCTGGTCCATATTTTTCTTATGGATAAACTTGGTAGGTTTTCATTTCAGACAAAGATAGCCCATGACCTAAGAGTGTGTCATGACCTTGACCGAAGGTCATTTGGGGAAGTTCAATGTCACTGGAAGAAAAAATTTATAATTCTTGTCCGGTCCATATCTTTCTAATGGATAAACTTGGTAGATTCTAATTTCACACAAAGATTGCCCATGACCTAAGGGTCTGTCATATTTACTTATGACCTAGACTCAAGGTCATTTGGGGAACTTCAAGGTCACTGGAAGAAGAATTTCAAAATTTTGTGTCCGGTCCATATCCCTCTTATGGATAAACTTGGAAGATTTTCATTTTAGACAAATATTGCCCATGACCTAAGAGTGTGTCATGACCTTTATCCAAGTCACTTGAAGAAAAATTTCATAATCATGTCTGGTCCATATCTTTCTTATGGATAAACTTGGTAGGTTCTTATTTTACACAAAGATTGCCCATGACCCAAGGGTGTGTCATGACCTTGACCCAAGGTCATTAGGGGAAGTTAAAGGTCACTGGAAAAAAATTAGTAATTCCTCTTTGAAACATATCTTTATTATGGAAAAACTTACTTCTGAAAAACCCAGTGGGGGGGTATTTTGTCCTGTTTGGACAGTTCAAGTTACTACATACTATCATTGCATATCTCCTTCTTTATGTTAAGATTGGACAGATATTTAGTTTTTAGGTCACCTGAGTAAACTCAGGTGACCTATTGCTATCTGTTTTCGTCCGTCGTCGTGCGTCGTCCGTCGTCCGTCGTGCGTTAACATTTGAACATTTTCAGCTTCTTCTCTGCAACCACTGAACCAATTTCAACCAAATTTGGCACAAAGCATCTGTGGGTAAAGGGGAACAAAAATTGCGAATTTCATGATCCCTGCCCCCCTGGGGCCTGAGGGGTGGGGCCAAAACCACTAAAATTAATGCAATTTTTAAAAATCTTCTTCTTTACTCCTGGACATCAAGCAGTCAAACTATTTGCATGATTGTAATCAGCATTGAGTCCTCTACCAAAATTGTGAAATTCATGGCCCTGGGGTCAGGGGTTTTAGTGCTAGGGCGGGGCTAAATAAGTATATAGTGAAAATGCATTATTTCTTTGAAAATCTTCTTCTCTGCTCCTGGGTATTAAATAAACCAACTAAGTACATAGTTATGATAAGCAAGAGTGCCTCTACCAAAATTGTGAATTTTATGGCCCCAGGGTCAGGGGTTCTGGTGTTAGGGTGGGGCTCTATTGATAATATAGTAAAAATACATGATTTCTTTGAAAATCTTCTTCTCTGCCCCTGGGTATTAACTAAACCAAGTAAGTAAATAGCTATGATAAGCAAGAGTGCCTCTACCAAAATTGTGAATTTATGGTCCCAGGGTCAAGGGTTCTGGTGTTGGGGGGGCTCATTGATTATATAGAGAAATTACATGAATTCTTTGAAAATCTTCTTCTCTGCTCTTAGGTATTAAATAAACTAATTTAGAGCATATTTTTGATGAGAAAGAGTGCATCTATCAAAATTGTGAATTTTATTGCCCCAGGGTCAAGGGTTCTGTGGTTGGGGGGGGGGGGGGGGCTCTATTGATTATATAGTGAAATTATATGAATTCTTTGAAAATCTTCTTCTCTGCTCCTATGTATTAAATAAACTAACTAAGTACATAGTTATGATGAGCAAGAGTGCTTCTACAAAAATTGTGAATTTTATGGCCCCAGGGTCAGGGGTTCTGGTGTTAGGGTGGGGCTCTATTGATTATATAGTGAAAATACATTAAATCTTTGAAAATTTTCTTCTCTGTCTCTGGGTATGAAGCAGATGAACTACTATATAGTTTTGATTAGCAAGGGCCCTAATCTTGCAGAATTGTGAATTTCAAGGCCCAATTGTCAGGGGTGGGGGAGGGGCTCTACTTATATACTGGAAATGAATTAATTGTTTGAAATCTGGTCCTTTGTATTTATAAAACATTTCTTTACTTTTTGATAGGCAATTTTAAGGGTGCCTTTTAAAAATTTGTGCAACCTGGGGTCAGAGATTTATGTCAGAGTGTTAGGGGCACTACTGATTATTGATGAATATTACTGATTAGTTGGAATGCATTTTTGTTCCCCTACCCTGCATATGGGTATTCAGTAACTAAGCTAAGCAACTGCTAAGTTTATTGTTATGATGATCAATGGCGCCTCTTTCAAAATTGTGAATGTCATATAGCATCTGGCTTAAAACATAATATTGAATCAAATTCAATACACTGTAACTGGAAAGTTGTTGCATAATGCTCAGGTGACCTATAAGGCCCGTGGGCCTCTTGTTCAATAGTAAAACAGACTTCACCATTTTTCTCATATGGAACCTGTGGATATCATTTTGTGAGCTCAATACTCTCAGTACCTCTAGATTTTATTATACCCCACGCAACTAGTTGCGGGAGGTACATGTATAATGTTTCTGACTGGTCCGTCAGTCAGTCAGTCAGTAAGTCCGTTAGTCAGTCAGTCCTCTTTTTTTGTCAGCGCAACTCCTCATAAACCGCTGCACAGAATTTCGTCAAACTTTGCAGGTATTTAGGACACATTGTGTAGATGTGCATAATACCAGGAAATTCCGATTCCATTATTTTTTCCGGAAATTTCCGCACTTTTAACTTAGGCCTTTGGCCATACCTTGAATATAGAGATGAACAGTTTGTCAGCACAACTCCTCATAAACTGCTGCACAGAATTTTGTCAAACTTTGCAGGTATTTAGGAAACAATGCGTAGATGTGCATATTACCAGGAAATTCCGATTCCATTATTTTTTCTGGGAATTTCCGCACTTTTAACTTAGGCATTTGGCCATACCTTGAATATAGAGATGAACAGTTTGTCAGCACAACTCCTCAAAACGGCTGCACAGAATTTCGTCAAACTTTGTAGGTATTTAGGACACATTGTGTAGATGTGCATATTACCAGGAAATCCCGATTCCTTATTTTTTCCGGGAATTTCCGCACTTTTAACTTAGGCATTTGGCCATACCTTGAATATAGAGATGAACAGTTTGTCAGCGCAACTCCTCATAAACCGCTGCACAGAATTTCGTCAAATTTTGCAGGTATTTAGGATACAATGTGTAGATGTGCACATTACCAGGAAATTCCGATTCCATTATTTTTTCCGGGAATTTCCGCACTTTTAACTTAGGCATTTGGCCATACCTTGAATATAGAGATGAACAGTTTGTCAGCGCAACTCCTCATAAACCGCTGCACAGAATTTCGTCAATCTTTGCAGGTATTTAGGACACAATGTGTTGATGTGCATATTACATGTACCAGGAAATTCCGATTCCGTTATTTTTCCGGGAATTTCCGCACTTTCAACTTAGCTTTTTTTGCCATATTTTGAATATAGAGATGAACAGTTTGTCAGCGCAACTCCTCATAAACCGCTGCACAGAATTTTGTCAAACTTTGCAGGTATTTAGGACACAATGTGAAGATATGCATATTACCAGGAAATTCCGATTCCTTTATTTTTTCCGGGAATTTCCGCAATTTTAACTTAGGCATTTGGCCATACCTTGAATATAGAGATGAACAGTTTGTCAGCACAACTCCTCATAAACCGCTGCACAGAATTTTGTCAAACTTTGCAGGTATTTAGGACACAATGTGTAGATGTGCATATTACCAGGAAATTCCAATTCCATTATTTTTTCTGGGAATTTCCGCACTTTTAACTTAGGCATTTGGCCATAGCTTGAATATAGAGATGAACAGTTTGTCAGCGCAACTCCTCATAAACCGCTGCACAGAATTTCGTCAAACTTTGCAGGTATTTAGGACACAATATGTGGATGTGCATATTACCAGGAAATTCCGATTCCTTTATTTTCCCGAGAATTTCCACTTTTGAACTTAGATTTTTTTGCCATATTTTGAATATAGAGATGAACAGTTTGTTAGCACCACTCCTCTTAAACTGTTTTACATAGTTTTGTCAACCTATGCTGATATTTAGGACATATTCCATTATATTATCCCAAAGAGTTTTGCCTATTATTCAAGAAAATTTCTCATCCCCCCCCCCCCACCACCACTTCAAATTAATGTGTGGATTTGTATATTGTCAAGAAATTTTGATTCCATAATTTATCTAGAAACTTCATTCACATTTAAATGTCCTCATATGCAAGTCATTTTGATGTGAAGATTTTTTGCAATTATTGCCCTTTGTAATCTATACTATGTATTTAAAGTGCACTGTGCCTTTCATTAAATGTGTTTCACCGTCAAGTTATGGGGGAGCGTGGGGTATGTGAGCTAGCTCACTTTTTCTTTCATTTCTTGAGTTGTAGATTTATATAAAGTAGAATAAATGTCTATTTGCATAAAGTACAGGGACAACAAAGTGAGACGGTGTTAAATGTGCATGCATTTTTATTTACAGCAAATTCTTCAGGCCAACAACAACGCTTCAAACTTAAACTTGATAAAATAGATTTGCACCAGAGTGTTCCTGAATCTCATGCAAAAAATGCAGCAGATGATGAGGAAACACAGGAGAAGATGGAACCAGAAGATGATGAGGGCAGTACGACTGAAGCATCAAGCAGTGGACAAATATCACAAGATGATACCGACATTAACCCTACCTCATCCCATGAACCACAGGGGGCCACATCACCAGAAAAAGTACCAGAAGTTATGAATGAAAGAAAAGATTTTCGTCATGTTCCAGAAATTTTTGGAAATTTACAGATAGGTGCAGAAGATATTTCAGAAGATCCAGATAAAAAAATATCCATGACTGACTTTGCAGGACAGTGTTCATATTATGCCTCACACCAGATTTTTCTGAGTCCTCGGGCGTTCTTCATTCTGGTGCTGAATATGGAGAGGAAGTTTGATGACAAGGTTGGAGAAGAAGTGTGTTGTCAGGAAGGTTCTGTTTATGGGGGATGGACACACAGAGGTAGCTTATCATTTATTACATGTATGGCCCAAATCGTTTTCAAGCACCACTGCATCAGATCAAAATTTATTCCATTGATAAATGTAATTGCCATATTAAAAAGGAAATAAGTAAATTTTCCATTTTCAGAACCTATCTGCCCCATTGAATTTTGAAACTTTAGACCTAAGAAACTTTTATCCTAAATGAGAATGATCTCCTATTTTTTGTGTCCTTCTGTGAAGCTTGACAAAGGCAATAAATTTGTTATATTATGCCCTGCCTTGTAAATAGCTTTGACATATAGAGTTTCTCATCTACGTCTGCCATTTCCTGCAATCTATGTTAAAGAAAACTTTTACCGGTAAATGTTTCTTTGTTTTTCAGATTATCTAGAATTCTGGATGAAGTCCATTCATCAATATGGCAGTGATAAGGCTCCTGTCATCCTGGTTGGTACACATTGTGAGAACAAAACAGAAAAGGTATCATTTTTAAATACTGCTATTTATTATGTACTCAAATATATTACTTTGTCATGGTTTTTCTGATTTGTATACATGTATATTTAATATACTGTAGAAGTACATTTTTCACGTGGTATTATTAACGCTATGTACATGGTCACAGATTTTTCGCGGAAAGGTTGTCCAAGCATCCTTATAAATGTAAGGCATGAAGTGACAGTCTAAGAAATCTCCATAATTTTCTACTCGCGGATTAATCAGAAAATGAGATTTCGCAGAATTATGATCCTGTGGAAAAAAGTATTTTTACGGTAATAATATCAGGTATACATGTGTTTCAAAAACTCTGGGGGAACAAATATTAACAATCATTGTATGATTATGAACATTATTTTACTATGACTTATTTCTTACCAAAAAATAAAATAAGCAATTTTTTTTGTTAGGAAAAAGAATTGTTTTTCCGAGAAGTATGGAAGACTCTTGACATGAAGAAGAAGTCTTTGCAAAAACATATCGATGTGAAACGGCGATTTTCGGTCGGATTCCATGAGAATGAAAGCCTTGAAAAACTAAAGATGTCCATTGCTGATGTTGTATGCAAGCTTGATCACTGGGGTGAAGAGCTTCCACAGTCATGGGCTATGTTTGAAACATTCTTTCAGGAAAAGAAAATTCGCAAAATTTTGAGTAGGGTTGAACTTCAGTCTTTTAATGAAACATTGCCAGAGGGAATAAAGCTCCATACTATTGAAGATATGGATGCCATGCTGCAGTTCTTCCACGACATCAGAGAACTTATGCACTTCAATCAACAATTCCTCAATAAAGTTATTATCCTCGATGTTCAGTGGTTTGCAGATGCCTTTAGAAATGTCATAACAGATAAAAACCATGCACAAGAAGATTTATTTAATTTTGCCTCAGAATGGGACAAATTCAATGAAACTGGAGAATTAGATGAAGCACTGCTATCTGCTATATGGAGAATGAACAACAATGGTTACCTTGAACACAAAGAGGACATCATGATGTACATGGAGAAGTTAGGACTCTTAGCTAAAATGAGCGAAAAAACATGGTATGTTCCGTGTATGAACATGATGCAATTTCCAGTGGACTGCTTCTCATCATACCCTGCCTCCTCCATCCTTTGCTACACGTTTGATGTTCTTCCTGTGGAAATTTTCCACCGCCTTGTAGCAACATGCATGCAGATTCCTTGGGAGATTTTTTCAGATGAAGAAAGAGGATGCATTTACAAGACTGCAGCTATTTTAGTGTTTCATGACCAGCACCATAACATTATGCTCGGAATGACTCAAACAGAAATTCAGGTACAGGTGTTTGTTGTGGAGGGAGAAGTTGATGTTTCAACCTGTCACCAGATTAGAGAAAACATTGAGCGTATATTACACAACCTCTCCAACACATTCCAGAAAAACTCAGATTTCCAGGTTGCATTCAAATGCAAATCTACTGGTTTTTGTGACAGCAAAGAAAGCGCTGTCATTAGTGAATCAAAGTTCATCAAAGACATTTTTCTGTGTCCATCTTGTCCAGCAAGCAAAAAACATCGTATCATTAAAGAAGATATAACAAAATATTGGGAACAGGTAATTCTTCTGAAATGCATCAATACAGAAAACATATATTTGGCAAATGTAATCCAATTTATCATTTCTGATAATTTTATATTGAATAATGATATGACATTTGGATCATAGCAACATTCATATTTAATATATTCATTAAATACTGAGTCATCTTATATCCATTTTAGGATATTAATGTCCAAGAAAAATATATTTAAGATTTCATTTACCATTTAAATTTCTGTGTTATTTTATCTGTATTTCTAAAAAGAAGTTTAGTATTTTTATCTAATTATCATTTTCAGACAAACCAGAGTAATCCTGGAACTTCCACAGCTTCTGGACAAGATCTAGAGGGTCGATCCAGATTTGCCAAACTTGGAATGGCAACGAACGATGTCTTAAATCAGGCCTACAGAGATATTCTAAAGTCAGAAGTCCCTCCCTCTGATATTGAAAACAAGGTGAATTCATTATCAAGCAAAGAAAGGAAGAATTTGAAGTTGAATCCAGATCAAGAAGGTCTTTTGAAAAAAGCAAAAAATACTGGATATAAGGAATTCGATATTTCCTTTACATACAAGATGATAAGAAACATTTGTTTAACGATCCCTAAACCAACAAAAGGAAAATGGGGAGAAGAACCTGCTGCAGGTGAGGTGACAGTGGGTGACGATATCGAAAGAATAAGGTTTATACGAAATAGATTGGCGGCACACGTTAGCTCAGCTTCTACCCCTCAAAAGGAATTTGACGACACCTGGTCAGTGATGTCAGATATCTGTCAAAGATTGGAAGCCTTCACTGGAAAGAAGTACTTTGCTGAACTTAAGGATATTAAAATGCTGAATTTGAAAAGGGAAGATGAAGAATCTATTATACAAAAGCTTTGCCTGGAACATCACGAAATGTTAAAGACTCTCATGTCAGATATGCAAGAAGTCAAGTTAGATGTAAAAGATATTAAAAAAGCAGTTATGAAGCCAGAGAACACAGGTGCAATGAACAATGCATAAGACCTACAGTGAAAATCTTCAGTAAATACATGTATGCAACTTCAATGCTTATCTCAGCGAATTTCTCATTGACATCATTGATATTTTGCAATATACACCGAAGTAGGCATGAGAATTGGCCATCCAAGAATGCTGTTGAAATTTAAAGATAAATGTGAGGTTTTCGAAGCGTTGCCTTCTTTTTGCGGTATGGGAAATTCGTGGGTACATAAAAAAAATAAATAAAAAGCTGGACAATTTTGAAATTTTCAGAAGAAAATCTTCACCTAAAATACAGGTTGTTTATTCGTTTATCATTATTTTTATTTTTTTTATTATTTTATAATCATTCATTTTTTTTTTTTTTTTTTTTTTGGCTCAACAGATTTCCTTATGTTAACTATTGCTAAATATCTTTAGTCCTTCGTCGTCAATCATGCATCGGTTTTAAAGTTTTGAATATTTTCAGCTTCCTCTACCTTGCTGAACCAATCTAAAATTTGGCATGTAGATTTAATACAAGAAGAGGTTCAAAATTATTAATTTTATGGTCCCTGTCCCTTCCCCTTCGGAACTTGGGAATTAAGCTAGAACTCTCACTTTTTAAATCTGATTATGTACTTTTGGATATCAAGCAGTCAAACAGTTATTGTAATTTTAATAAGTATTGAGCACGTAATCAAAATCGTGAAATTCATGGCCCAGGACTTTGGACTGAGGATGACGCTCTTGTGATGATGTACAAACTGTAGTGAAAGTGCACATATGTTCTCAGTCGCTCTGCATATTAAGAAGATAAGGTTAATTTATAATGTGGAGCATGTTTGCTTCCATATGTCTCCATATGAGTGAAAAATTCTTTAAAGGGACGTTAATAGGAACAGTCAATCAATCTAAACTTCGATTGGCAACAAACGATGGGTCTAATTCAAGGAATCAGAGATATACTGGAGATGGAGGTTCTTCCTACCTTTGTTTATAATTAAGTAAAAGCATCAACAAATTCTCTCATTGATCTCAAAGATTGACACATTTGTTCCGCTATTCCCAAACCAAGAAAAGAAAATGGAGAGTGGAGCATTCAACACAAAAAGAAACAGTGGGAGATGATATCGAAAGAATTGGGTCAATTCAGAACAATTGACGTGAACTCAGCCTCCACCCCTCAGACAGAATTTGAAGACACCTGGTCATTGATGGCAGATATTTGCCAAAGTTGGAAAACTTTCACTCTAAAGACGTACTTGGATAAACTTAATAAAATTAAGAAACGGACGTTATAAGAAAGGAAACTGATGATGCTATTATTGAAAGGATTAAAATGGAAAATCAGCATGAAATAAAATGGCAATAATGTCTGATTTGTAAGATATTAAAACAGAAGTATTGAAGATTGAAAGCAATAATGAAGCAAATTGAGAGTATTATTTATAGAGCGTATGACTACATGAATGTGTAAATCACTAAACTAGTCATTATTGAATAGCAAGAATTTTGTTTGTAGGATTGGATACTTATATGTGACTTGTATATTGAGAAGTTAATCAAATCTCCAGAATTTTACACACTTTAATATAGTAATATTGTTATCGTAATTCTGGAACTACTGATATACAGAAAGGATGCTACAAATTAGGTGTATTAATCGTAAAACCTATGGCTACATGAATGTGTACATATCGCTAAACTACTTATCATCGAGGAAACAGTACTTTTTGTAGGATTTGCTACTTGTATTGAGAAGGTAATCACAACTTCCAGAATTTTTACACACTTTAATATTTTAATATTGTTATCATAATTCTGGAACTACTGATATACAGAAAGGATGCTACGAATTAGGAGTATTACTCGTAAAACCTATAACTACATGATTGTGTATATCACTAACCTAGTAATTATCGAATAGCAATAATTTTGTTTTTAGGATTGGATACTTATATGTGACTTGTTTTGAAAAGTTAATCAAAGCTCTAGAATTTTACACATTTTAATATTGTTGTCGGAATTCTGGTGCCAAAGATTCTAATGAATTTATCCTTTCTTTACAAGAACCCAAAGATAGAGAGAAATTCGAGGAAAAGGGCAGAGGAAAGTCACATTTCAAGAAATATCAGAATGCAAATAACCATGCATTTACGTAGTGTGTACTCAATTATTTTAGTATGTTAATGAACTGTAGAAGGATTCGATATTTTTTTATACCTTAAATTGTGTCATGAGGTCATTGTATTTTTCTTTGTAAATGATTTTACCAAAGCAATGTTCGTTATTTAAGCAAGATTATTCTTCCATTATGTGTACATGTAATACGACCTGTGTTATTCTCAAGTTGTTGCGTTAAAGTTACTAGTACAGTGTATAATCAAATACCTGTACAGTCACTTTCAGACTTGATAACCCCAAACAAAAAATACTACAGTATTAAACTAAAGTTTAATACTTTACTTAACTATAGCATCAATGTAAGAGCTTTGATAAACATGAACTATAGTGAAAACTTTGGAACTTTAATTTACCACAATAAAGAAAAATTGATTTATAGCAGACAAAACTTTTAACATTGATATTCTTTACTAAGAAAACTAAAACTTTGGTTTACTGTAGTAAAAACAAATTAAAATCAATCCGGTACAATTGTTCATTATAGTTACAATAGTACATGTAAACTTTAGTTTATTAAAGAATTTTTTTTATTGAAAAATGTTTTTATGAATACCAAGATGAAAGAATCTGGGGGGATTAGGCGAGTCATGTCCCAAAGGGGTTTTATA